CAACACTGGCACAAGAAGAAACTCGGTAAACTGGCCAACAGTAATTTTAGGTAGGAAATCTGAAGTTTCTATGGCAACCAATGAGTGAAGAATGCTTGAAGGCAAAAAGTTGTTAGTTTTAATACAAAGTTTGACATGTGTATGACAGATAGCGTTCATGGTTGTCATAGCAAGGAACTGGACTCACCAGCTACCTCTATGTTATGCACATAACTGTGCCGGTCTTTGGCTCTGAGGCAGACCGGTGTGGTTTGCCCGTGTCCATACTGGTACACCCTCTTAACCTCCGAGTCTGGGCGCTTGCATCCTCACTGCCTACGGGGAGGTGTCTGGGCAGGCACTAACGCCTGGCCTGACCCAGGGAGCCATGTGGCAGCGTGCAGGGACCCACCCCGCTGGCGCTGGCGGTCTCGCTGTGTGAAAGACTGAGCTCCAGCCCCTGTACCATGCCCGGTACCATTTAACCTGTTACTGGTTCCAGAGATGTTTTCCCTTCCCTGCTCATTGTCAAGGGTTGAGAAAATCGCTGGTAGAATATGGTAGAGACCTCCCTAATGAACTAGTGATGGCACTGAGATTTTTGCCGTTATTGTTCCTGTTTCTAAAATGTAAATAAATTCTGCCTTGCGTGGATATTTGAAAAAAAAACAGTAATCCTGGGCAAAAAAATGTGTTCTTTTTTTAAAACAGAAAAGAATTCACTTAAACTTCGTAGTTTGCTATTAGATCCTACTCTCAGGTCAAAAATCCTACAAATAGTTGGAAAATATGACAAAAAATGGCATTTTCTGTTTGCTCTGTTGTTATTTTGCCTTTGGGCATGCGCTGTTAACTACTTTTGGAGAGACGGTAGCAGATTAGGCACTGTAGGAGAACATTACTAGTTCTTACAGAAAGACATGAAGAATGCAGTGATCGCAATCTTACAAATTTTATATATTACATAGAAAACAAATTTAAGGATCTTTTCTGTGCTCTTGTAAAATAATCTTTTTGGTTTTTTAGAGCTTATTGGAGGGTACTAAGTTACAGGAGACAATATGGCAGAGCAGTTTACAGATGATGAAAGCGTGAGTATGTTCCACTGTTTTTTCCTTTGTACCCCTTTTAATTATATACCTGTTACAACGAGGTGACTGAAGTGGCAAAAGAACAATCAGAAATTTTCTGCAAATGACAACAGGAAAATGAAGCAACAGTTTCTTAGCAACAAACTGGAAAATATGCTAAATAATATTTTTTCCTACTGAGGTTTGTGTATGCTATGTTCCAAGCATTGTTCTGAAGTAGACCTAGATTTCTGTGCATGTTTCTTTTAGATTAATATTCTTACAGGGCTGCCTTGACATGGAGTTTTTCTGAAGAACCACTGTTTGTGTAGACATTCTTACTTGGAGTATGAATGCAATCAAAAATCCTGTTTTGTAAGGCTAAGGCATTAGATGGCACATTGAAGCTGCATTTTTTTAAGGGTTTGGTGAACTGTAAAAAAAAAAAAAAAAAAAAAAAAAAAAAAAAGCCAAACCATTCCAGTCAGAGGTTCCTCATTTGGAAATGGTGAGTAACAATTGATACAGCTCTGGCTGTCTCTCTCAGTGGTGGTGAACAGACTGAACTGAACTGCTGCACAGTTTAGGTGCCAAGTCCTGAGCAGAACTGTGATTACACAGTGCATAATCTACATGGTGTACATTATGAAAGGCTATTTATTTTTTGTGGACCATTAAATTAACAGAAAAAAGGGGAAATGAAGAATGAAATGTTTAATTTAATTTTGGCCTTTATGGAAACTCTTCAGTAGTCTAAATTAAAAAAAAAAAAAAAAAGCCAAAAAACTCACCCTGGAAAGAAATCATTACTTTCAAGTTGACCCAAAATGTATTACCCCCCCCCCCCTCCCCCAGTCCAAAAATATCCTGCTGAATTTTTCCTCCTTTTCTGATTTGGCCATTGCTCAAGAAATTATGGTTTTTTTATCTGAAGTGCACACATTTTGCCTGAAAGCATTTCTTGGCATGTCCTCCTATGTCCCCCAAACCAGTTCCTTCATATTCCAGCTGATGCAGGCATTGAAATAAATGCTGAGACTTCCTAAATTTTCAACTTCTCTGTGAATAATTTGTTGTACAGGTTAATTCTTTGGGAATGTGTAACAGGTAAAATAAGAATCGCGAACTTTTCAGAGCAATTTCCAGAAGGCAGACACCTAACTGCTGGGTAGCAGAGGAGAACTGTGCAGCTATGCAACATGACAAATCCCTTCACCCAAGAGTCTGAAGTCGAGTCAGCGTACCTGAAGAATCCTTCAGGTACAAAGTCTTCCCATCTATTTTTGTCTTTTTTTGATCTTCGTCTGCATTGCATTTAGAGTTTATTGCTTTAGAAGGCATGGATAAGCACTATTTCTCTTCTTCCACTAGGTATGAGTGCCATTTTCCCAGGTGCTCTGCAGTTGTCTCCACCAATGAAGGATTATTTAAAATCAGCCTTGTTTTGGCTTCGCAAGCTTATACAGCTCCTGTGTTAAAATGGAGGTTCCAGTTCACTCTGGATTTCACAAAAGCAGTATGAAATAGCTCTTCATTCTATTAGAATAGCTATGACAAGGTTAGAATGAAGCTGAAAGTAGAGCTTTGTTTGGGAGAAGAGAGTTGTGGAAAAGGGAGGAGCTGAAAAGAGCAGCAGTGGCAGGAAGTCATGCATGGCTTTCATCACAGATAAGAATGACAGACCACTTGGGGTGAATATGCCTGCGGATTTACTATCAGAGGGAATTAATTTTTATATATGTGGTTTTGGAACAAAATATGCAAGCTTTTGTTTCTTTTTTTTTTCTATCTGGCAAATGTGTGGGTCAATAGGAGATATGTTTATATTGAATCAGGGCAAGGGGATTCCTTCTGTGATCTTTATTCTGGTCCAGTATTCAATTTACAGAAAAAAACCCAAACAAACTTATTTTTATTCTGCTTTTCACATTTCCAGGATATTTGCAGATCTCTTTGACATATCTACTGATTTTAAAATTAATGGGAGTCATGTCTGCACAGTGTTTTCTGGACTGAGTTATAAGGACAGATTTTTAAAGGCATTAAGGGAGCTGTTTACATGTTCATAAAACCCCCTCTTCTTTAGTGGCTTATGAAATTTATGTAAAACATAATATGATAAATCAGCCTAATTGTAGATCTAAACTCCACATTCTTCAGTCTTTAAAACTGAGTTATGAAATAACCTGATTTGAAAACTGCAATGAGTTCCTAATTCAAGGCACACAAAAGAAAATGTCTTTGGTCTAATAAGATCTTTAAGATTCATGAGAACTATTTGCAAGGTGAAATAACCACAAATTCACTGTGAAAGAACTTGGAAAAGGATTTTTTTGTAACTAATTGAGATTGTGATTTCTGTATGTTTTCCTCATACTTATCATTGGCAGAAGCCTGCATGTCAGGATTCTGAATTTGAGAAGAGAACACCCCCCCCTCCTTGTAGAGCTAGTTAACTATTCTGAGAGGACTTGGGTTCAGTTATAACTATTATATTTGCTGTCTGATGATGTTCCCTTGTTAAATGGATAATGCAAATGAGATGTTCAAAATAGCATTTCTTGTTTTAATTTGTCATCATGACTTGAAAACTCCAAATGGTTTGGGTTTTCTATTACATAACAGTTTAATTATTTATATGTACTTTGGATTAGATTTTTCTGCTAGTAATTCTGTTGTACATTTGAAATTAATGGAGATGCTTTAATTTTTTTACTGTTCTGCTGAGCACAGGATTTGGTCTAACTAGTACACAGAGAAGTTAACACACAAAGGACTACAGGTTGTTTTTGCTAAATAAAAGCTGAGGTACTTACCAATCATAAAATAAGTGTCAGTCAAGTTCTGGGCAATATACTACATAGTATTATCTAATCCTTACAATTTTGAGAATTATTTTTATACTCTACCAACAAAACTTACTGGGTCATGCAGGCATGTCACAGTAATAGCGAAATGTTGCACCCACTCAAATAAGCTGATGTAAAATATTTACAGGGTTTTTTTAACTTCTGGTGTGATTGTTTAGTTGCGTTCCATATAATCGTTGCAAAGGCCACTGTCTTGAGGCCTGGAGAATTACTTAGCTCAGCAAACGCGAAGCGCAACCGTGTGTGCCAATTCTTGTCCTGCATTTTGCATTACTAACCCACCCCAAAAGAAGCTGTCTTGCTACATTTTTTAAAAGGTAGCCTTTTCCCTGCTTATTTGCCCATCAGTCAGGGCTAAAAATGGCATACCTTTGTTCTGAAATAAATACTCTGCCTCGCACCCCCCCTGTACTCTCTATCTGTGAGGCAGAATGAGAAATCCTACAGCATCCAAGGCATAGCAGGAAGAATGTCCGTATTGAAGTCCGCCCTGCTCCAAGTATGAGCGGTGTGTAACCTGAAAAGGACAGTAAAGGTGAGGAATAACACGTTATGAAGAGTGGAAGCGATGCCCTTGGTGCAGATGCACAACTAATTCACTGCCAAGGACGTCAAAGGTTTTTTCTTTGTTGTTTTTTTGATTAATATAAAATTAATTGGGCTACGAATCGCACTCTTCATTAAAATCAGCGTGTTTAGAGGTTTCTTCCGCGTAATTCCGCTGTGAGATAGCTGTGACAGCAGGGCAGGACAGCGGTGAGGAGTCCTGGCGCAGCGGGAAAGGGACGCTACCCGAGCCGAGGGGACGGCAGCGGCGGACGAGGACCCCGCGGGGGAGGCCGCAGCAGCGGGAGGCAGTAGCTGCGGGAGGGAAAGCCCATGGAAGCCACGGCTGTGGAAGAGGAGCCCCGCCGGCGGCCACAGCAGTCCGGGCCGTCCCGCCGGGGCAGGCCGGGCTGTGGGAGGCGGCGGGCGGGCCGGCAACGGCCGCGGAGGGGGTGTTGGCGGCGCCGGTCCTGCCTCCTTCAGTGCGATGTGAGACGCGGGGAGAGCATCGGTTGCCAAAGGCTTGAGTTGTTACATGCATCCAGTAATCTTCTTCTCCAGAATGGATTTTAGTCAGAGCAACTTATTTGGATACATAGAAGACCTGCAGGAACTAACTATTATAGAGAGGCCAGTGCGCAGGAGCCTGAAGGTATATGCTGGAAAATAGAGCGATGCTCGAACATCCATTTGAAACCGTGTCTGTTTTATTTATGCACAGCTAACTGAATAGGCAGTTCATTTTTTACAGCGCCAGCATGCTAAAAATTGTTTTCAGTCATTTTGGAATAAACAGTCTCGAATTCTGTATAGCAGGGACTTGATATTTTCAGGATAAGGTTATTAAGCTGGAAAAAAACCAGACTAACTTAGGTCTTTAGATTAATTTGTGTGTGACTCGTTTATACTTGTAAGTGATTAATAGTGAGAGTGTCTGACATGGAACTGTACTTCTGTTACACTCATCTTTTCCTGGTGAAAGATTTATTTGATTGAATTTGAAATGTTGGCTAGAGATTTCAAGGATTAAATTCAAATTACTCGTGCAGCTATCCCTGGATATGTGGGGAGGAAGGGGTTGTTTTAAGAAGATTAAAATGATGAAATAGTAAGGCATTGTAAACTCATAATCTCTATTTCATGTTTGACAGACACCAGAAGAAATAGAAAGATTGACAGTTGATGAAGAACTCAGTGATATTGAAAGGGCTGTTTATCTACTCAGGTATTTCCTAAAATATTACTGTGAAACATTGCTGACCATCATGCTTACATACAGCTTTTTTAGTGCTTCACTCTTCACTCCTTTTATTTTCTGTCTTTCAGGAGTAGTTTTTTTACTTTCTGCTACATTAAACATATAGGCAAGATAAAAATAGGTACTGTAATTTTTTTAATAGGATGCCTGTGTACATGTATAAACATTTCTTTTCTGAGTTCCTAATATGGCCCTCACCAACACTGGGTTGTACTTAAATCTTCTTTTCCCCTGCAGTTGATTTTGCAAGATTCCCCAAGTGTTAACATTAATAACACCAATCATTCAGTAACCTCATATTCGCTCCAAGGCATGAGCAGTTACCACAGACTGATAACAGAGCTGTTTGAGCATACTGTCCATGTCTGGGTCTTCAGAAGAGAAAAGTTGAGAGATTAGTTTTATAGTCCTTAGGAAATACTGTAGAAGATACTATATTAATACTTCCCTGTGATCTGGTTTTTCATTTTACTTTCTTGTTCTTTAAAGTACTTGCAGCTACTTGAATAACTTAAATTTTGATAGTTCAAAATACAGATCTTTCAAATGTTGTGTAAGTCATCTTTGAGAGTATAAATGTTCTGAAGGATTTTGATTTCAATATGCATTTTTAAACAATACCTAGTAATTGGAGAACCAGCTGCAGCTCCCTCTCAGTTTGCTTATTCTGCTAATTTAAGTGCTCTTCTAGTCTATGCCTGTCCTCAATGTTTAGAGTACATATTCTGAGTGCCTTAATTTTCTCTTTTTGGGGTGCATGGCATTATTTTTGGGTAGGCATTTTTGTCCACTGATACTACTTTTGATACTGAATTTTGTTTATGTTTCTTTTAATGTCGAACTTTGTTAAATAGTGGATCTTAAAACTTGCGTTGCTAATAGTGCCTGTGATCAAAAGCAGTCTGTTGACTCTAGGGAAATTCACAAGAAACAGTTTGCATGTGGTGCATATCATTCCAAAGGATGCATATCAATTTTGGTTTTTACCTCATAGCAATCAGCACATTTGACTTTTTTTTTTTTCTTTCCCTGTGTGGCAGCAAATTTCTTTGCTCTTTTCCCAATTAAAGATCATGCTTCCAGCAGTATGTCTTTACTGGATCATTGCCTCGTTAAAGGGTAAAAGGTTCCACTTCATATCTTTCATCTTACTAATTGCTTTTCAACCTGGCCTTGAACTTCTCCTGACATCTTCATCTGCTTTCTCTCTACTTGACAGCTGTTCTGGGGACATACTATTGTTTTCCTTGTGATGAAGTTTTCATTTTTGCCTCTGCATTGTCCTCATGCTGAAAGGTAGCTTCATCTCTGTTTGATAAGCTTTTTGTAAGGCAATCACTTGCTGTGACTGTCCAGGTATGTTAATACAATAATCCACTGGAAGCTTTTGCTATTGAATAGTATATTGCCTTCCCTGTACTGAGTGGAGTATAAGCAAACAAAGTTGAAAAGCTGCCTGTAACACAGGTACTATCCTTTATATAATGTACAAAGGTACAAATTTTTGGCTTGTCTAGCATTTTTAAATCTACTGTGATACAACACCCCTGCCTGTTCCTGTTTGACAATAATGTCAGTCTGGTTTTCTCATGCCTCAGTTTCTCACACAGATGCATTATTTGCTGTCCTTCAGGTTGTCCCTTATGTGGGACTCTCCTTGATATTATCCAAAAAGGACACTGCCTTTTCTGAAAACCTCACTATAAAAATTGCTTTGGTGAGATTGAAATGAATCGTTAATGATGTCTGTGTTGTGCTCCATTTGAAGAGGATGATGCTATCTCCATATACATTAAAAAATATGCAAGAACAATAATAGAGAGCATATTTCTTACCTTTAATATCTACAAATATTATCAAAATACTTAGTGTTGTGTCACATTGTCTTTTATATGTCACTTATATATGTAACCCTAATCTTCAAGTTGGAGATTTTTAATTTAGTAAGGAGGGTATCTTTAGTGTTGCTTGTGTAGTGCAATGGAGCTGACTAATACTGAGTGAAACCTTTGTATGATACAGCAAAGCTAATGTTTAGTAATTATTTTCTGTGAAAGTCCAAAAAGAGTCCTTGCATTTTAATGGCTTTCATTCAGAACAAAAAAGCCCAACCGCTTTCTTTTCGCATTCTCCTTTCCCTCCAAAACCTGCCCCGACTTCTCCTCCCCACCCTTGAACTTGAATACTCTGGTCTGCTTATATGCAGAGTTGTTGTATGTTTAGCAGATTCTTGCTTTTTCTAGATTTATGCTTCTGAAGTGTTTTACTGTTGTAGTCTGAAAGCAGGTACATTGACATCCCAGTTGGAGAGAGTAGTACAGCCTTTTACTGTCTGAGGTTTTTGGTGCCTGAATAATGTATTTTGTTTGCTTTGGGGGTGGTTTTTTTTTCCCCTCCTGTGACTGCTTCTTGCTCTACTGTGTATATGAGGAGGTATTAATTTCCCAACTCTCATCAGTTTCATCAGTTCATTCTCCTTTTTTCATCTCTTGTATTACTTCTCATTTGCCAGTAATACTATGGAGTTTCTGGCATGCTCTTGTACTTCTTGATATTGTAAAGTTATTTGTTTTGCTCATCTAGCATGTATTCATATCCATCTAATGATTATTTTGTATTTCTGCAATGTCTTGTCTGTCTATATTTAGCCATGATGTATTGTCATAGATTTTGTAAATTTCTGTTCATTGTCTTCTCGTATGTCATAAATATATGTCCACAAATGCTCTTAGCACATGGTGAGTACATTGACATGTTAATCCTGTTTGAAACCTCATTTTCACAGGGATGTGGCTTAATTTTAATTGGTTTCTATTGTTACCTATCATAGTTTGGTTTTACATTCTAAAGTGCTAATTGTAATTTTGATAATCCTAACAAGTGTTTATATATATTTTTAATTATTATTTTTAGAGGATGACTTTGCTTTCAGTCTCCCCTTTTCTGCCTGTGCTGTTCTTCAGTTAACTATATAATGATGTAGATTGACAAGATGATCTAGCTAAAGCTGATCATTTTTAGTGAGATTAGTTTTCGGCTAAATCAGCTTCTTGACTTGGCTCATCGTGTGGATACAGAAACAGTTGTGCAAGCAAAAAGAAAGAACTTGGTAGATTTCCTGGTGGCCAGTGTCACTTTAATATGACATAAGCATGGTTGAACTTCAGCTTTAGATCATTGTTGCCCAGAGTACTCAGTTTTAATTAGGTAACACTGCAATTAGACTGAGCAAGTTCTAATTTAATAAGAATGTTGTAGCAAATTGGACTGTCATTTTTTGTAATCTCAATTAACCTTGATTCTGGTTGAGGGACTGGGCTTCCTTAGACAGTATTGTCAGAGATGTTTATGAACTTGCCATGGAAATCAAATGGGTTTAGGTGCCTAAAGAGGGAGAGGCATCTGAGTGTCTAGTTATCTATGTTTTAGAACTTCAGCCTGAGTGCTTGGGGGTTTCTGGAGGGTCTAACTGGAATCACTGAAGGGTTGTATTCTGACTGTATTTTGGATGTTGCTGGCCCAACAGAAGAACAAGGAGAGCCAAATAGCTATGTGCATCTCAACCATGTTGGTGTCAAGATTGATGGCTTATCATAAAACCATCAGCAGATTAAGACAACCCGCCAGGCTTCGCACCAAAGTGACTGAATCATTTGCATTCCGCTTCAGGGCGTTGTGACCTCTAGCAGGACAGTGGCAATAAGCAGCTCAGGGACAGTAATTTTTATTCCTGCTATGAACTTTTGCCTGTAGTCTTAGTTTCCATGTTTGCTGATGTTCAATTGAGGTTTTTACTTATTTTTATTTGTCTTACTGTAGCTTACCCTTTTATGGCATGCAGCCAGTAGCAAAATACTTATTCTTTGCCCGATGTGAATCTGGTTTGGATACAAGGATGCTTACTGACATGCACACTGTAGCATGGTTTGTTTTCTGAGGACTCTGCTGATAGATTTCCCATGGGATTTTACATTGTTGTGTGTACTGTATTATTTTGTATTCAGCTACTTTTTGTTTATTTGTGCCTGCTTAGTGTTAAAGCTTCCAGGCCTTGACATTTCTGTCATACTCAAAATAACAGGATAATAATGAGTTATCAAGGTGGAGGATTGGATTATTCACCCTTTTGGGAACATACCGTACTTTGGTTTTGGAGTGATCCTATCTCTCATTTTAGAAAACAACACAATGCCCCTCCATAACATTTAGCACACTTTTTGAAGACACAGTAGAAACTTTATCTAGATTGGAAAGAATTCAATGCCGATAAACTTAGCATGTCTCTAAAAAAAAAAACCAACAAAAAACCAAAAAGGCGTACTTTATTGTAGCCATCTTTGATTAGCTAGAGTATTCTCAAATTCTGAACAACTTTTTATACAGTATATGTTTAAAAGATTTTTTTATTTGGCTTCTAGTTTTTAGTCTTCATCATGCTAGTTTTGGAGATTTTCTTTTCTCTGTAGGTGCAGGCAACTCACCCTTGAATTTAAATGAAAGCTTTCATTTAAATGTAACTTTAGGAGCTGATTATCTAATATAAACATTTTGTCAATTTTTTGTGTTACATAATCATGAGAACTGTCTTCTCTATTCCAGTTAACACAGCTTCTGAAATTATGGTCCTGATACATACATAGTATACTGAAAGATCCAGCTGTCATGCTAAGCACATTGGAAAGTAATTCTTCCAACTACACTGGCAAGCTGTAAATACTAATATAAAAAGTATTTCTTCAGTCTTTTTTTTTTTTTCTCCTTTTATTTTGTAAACTACAACTTAAATTTATAAAAGTTTCATTCCTGATTCACTTAGCTGGATGGATGAATTGGTTGCTTGACCTTGACTCTGTTATGCAAATAAATTAATGTATATGAAATTGATTCTTTCACCTTAAAGTGAAAGGTGTACCTGTAGTCTTTTGAAATGATGCTAAGTCACATAGTTTTTATTAAAATTTAGATTT